TTTGAGTCGATGAGTATAGGGTTTTTCTCAGAACGAGTAAAAGTACGTCGGTGTTTGATTAGTTTAATCATACACTTATCTCGACGTCTTAACAAGGCCTTTATGTTATCATTTTAAGTGTTTTGGATACGAATTAACCACCAAGTCAAGTAGGTCAAGTTGAATCAAGTCAGCCAGCAAGCAGCTTCCCCATCGATGATAAACGGATGAGTTAGGAGTGAAAAACAAGGCTTGGAGATCGAAGACAAAGATGAGCTTAAGGAAAATTTGGCAAAGTAAATCAATTTAGGAGCAACGAGAAACAATAAGGAAACAGGTTAAAAACTTCCTGGTTTAGTTTTTGCTTGAGAAAAAACACTGAAGAGGAGGAACATCTTCCGTTATTTAAGAGATTAAAGGATTGTACCAACTTTTCTTCTAATATATTCGGATTTTGTATTCATCTTCCATCGTGTATCTCTGTGATTCAATTATGAGTGGTCAAGCTTCTTGTTGCTAGGATTTACAATGAAGCATTTAATTCTTTGATCTAATAAATTGCTGGTTTTTATTTTAATTTTTTTATTAATTGATTGTTTATTATTGAATTATTGTGACATCTTATTATCTAGCCAATATTAGGATTGTGTTATAGGATTCATGTTGGATCCGCGAAAGTTGTGTTTGAGATTAAGTTTTGTCTCATGAATCTTGGCTCTGATACCATATTAAATAATTCAAAGAAATAAAATAAAAAAAAGGAGGTTAAGATTTCATTAATTATGCATAATGCAATTGAATACAAAAGAATGAATTAATTTAAAAACAAAGAGACTGTATATAGGCTAAACAAAAGAAATTGAAAGGACTATTTTATCCTTAATAAACAATAAAATAAAATAGTCATATATTTAACCCTATATTTCTTAACAATTCTAATTTTGTCTTGCATTTTTATATTCGCACAACCTTCATAGATATATAGTTAGGTCATAGGTAAAAATTGAATTAATTTATTTCGAGAGGTGAAATAAGAATTGGTTGATGATTAAAGTAGGTTAACAATGATGGATTCGGAATCCTAGTGGCTTAATTTAAGTCCAAGATTTGCCTACTTTTTGATTACGAAATCGTTTATTGTGTGTGGTTCTTTATTAGAGTTAATACGGTAAATAGCATTGAAGGTCCCCAACCTCTAGTGTCATTTACACTTCCGTCACCAACTTTTTTTTCTAGACAACCGTGTTTCCAACTTTCGAAAAATTAGCGGCCTTCATCCAAATGTATGATTTTTATCCATTTCTCCATTAGTCAACCCCTTTGGCTTGCAAATCAAATATTAAAAAGGACAGAATTATCATTCCATTATTTTTAATTAAAATATTTAATGAAATGATATAAAAACCCAAAAAATAAAAATAAATAAATATATATATATATATATATAAACAAAAACCTTATTTATCTTTTCCATAACCACCCTACTACATATATGGTATACCCCATCCCACCTATAGTGCGGATTTAGCACCAGGTGAGGTAGTATGACTGCTCATGTTGGATCCGTCGGAATTTACAGTTTAAAATCGTTGGATGTAGTCTCGTCATGATTGCAATCGTCTGGGAGTTTAAAGGAAAG